TGTACAAGGTAATTCCCGGGTTATGCTGTTGTTTAAATTTTGATGTTTGCATGTAAAGATATCATTGAAAATATGTAGATAATCATATTGATCTTTAAATATAATTGTTAAATAAAGTTTTTGCATTAAAAATGATTTATTGTTTAATCTAATATAACAACATTATGAACTTAGTAAACGAAGACTCGTTTACGGCTGTTGACTTGATGATTGAACGGGGAATTTCCTTACCGCGGCGCATGCTCATATTTTTCCTTCCGTTTCCTATATCAACAAATGTACATGACCGTAGTATATTCATATTGAATAAACAGATGAACTGATGTTTTAGAAAAACTACTAAATACAAAAAATATTTATGAGCTTGTTTGTTTTTCTGATTTATACATTTTTACCATTTTTAGGTCAGGACAAGTAAGTCTTAGGTCACAGGCAAGTAGTTTTAAAAACTACTTGCCCGACAGGACAACCTGATTCAAAAGTTAATGTCTAGGCCTGAGGAAGTGCAGAGTACCGGTTCTTGAGCACTGCACTTCTTCTCAATGAGATCTATCATCCTATGAAGTTTCAAGTCCATAGCTTTTATACTTTCGGAGAAATGGCCTGGATAAAAATTAAGTATGAAAATTAACAAAGGGCAATAACTCAAAAAATAAGAACTGCAGAGTACCGGTCCTTGTGCACTGCACTTCGGGTTATAGAAAGAAGCATGCATACCAAGTTTGAAGTCAATCAGACTTATAGTGACTGAGTTATGCTCCGGACAAGCTTTAGGGGACGCCGACGCTGACAACGACACAGACGCCGCCGACAAAAGTAACCCCTATATGTCACCTTTTCAAGGCGACACAAAAAGACACACAAGTGTTATAGGGTAGAATTAATAATAGAAACTTTTGTACAATAAGCGTACATTATGGAACCATGATACTATACAATAGCAGACGATAACAGACACCACGGAGACAAACGATAATTGACGCACGCGCGGACATTAAGATTACTTTTCCCGTGACTAACTGACAAACAGTGCACGGGAACATAACAAATAAAACAACCTGTAACACAAGTAAAAACGGAATGGATAGGATCAAAGAGAATTTACTGTTACCCATCGTTCTCCAAGTCTCACAAGTACCTCTGGGTATGTATGGACTGATTGACAGAGGGTAAACCAGAAGTCCCCTCTGGTAAACTGGTAGGGGACTAAAAAGTTATCACCTCGTGTTATATCTGGTAATTACATGTACTACAGAGCTCTAGATAATTTTTTTGGCCAAGGGGTTTTTACCCCTCAAAATTTAGAGTGAGGGGTAAAATGCAAATTCTGAAAAACTTAAGGGGTAAAATCTGTCAAAAAAGCATTTTGCATTTTTTATAAACAAATTAAACTTATTGTTTTGTTTGTTTGTTTGTTTATTTTCTTTTTTTAGAAAAACCTTTACAAATTAAATACTGATTTAATGTAAAGCAATAAAAAACATGCCATGTAAAGTCTGACTTCCAGAGTATACTGGAACTCAAGTTTAGGATACACTGCAAAATTATCAGGGCTTCCATTTTCAAAATTTGGAAATCAAAGACTTCAAAATCTCTGATATTGGAAGTCACATTATATAGGTAAAGAAGGAAAAGTATTGATTTTCGGAAGTCACAGACCAAAATGAAGAAGTAAATGACTCCCAAACTTCCACTAGTGGCAGCCCTGAAATTATTTTATTTTCTAGGAGTCTTTATTTCTGTTGGCATGTACCTTATCATGTACTCCAGTTTGAACAGTTATAGTTGAAATTAGAATTTAAGAAACATAAACAAGATTTTTTTATCTTTCCTTAAAAAAAAGTATTGGTCTGAGAGAAAATTGTCCGTAACTGTAGACTGGGTACGAAAATATTGAGTACAAAACTGCAGGTGAAAAGCATGTAATTTTGCTCCAACAACAAAAGTGAAAGAAATTAAAATATATTTTGTTTATATTGAAGCATAAGCATGTCAATAGATGCATAAACAAACTTAATACTGTGTTTACTCCTACGATGATTATCTGATTATTTCATCAATAATTTCACATGTTGATCTACAGGAGTTACCTCCCTTCTGTATTTCCTGCTACTTTCGTTTTTAACATGCGTTGTTGACAACAGAATTTTTAGTTTTCAATGCAATAAAATGGATATATGTTGTATTTTTATGCTCATAACATTTTCTTTCTACATATCAAATGTTAACACTTCTATTCTTTCACGCATAAATTTTGACATACGAGCGTATTTTCATTTTGTTGTGCGTAACTGTGACGCACGAATTTTGAAAGTGATGCGTATTTTAGATTTTCTATGCGTATTTTACGCTTATACGCACGCTATCTGGAGCTCTGTACTAGGGCATTTTTTGTCAAAATAGTGTAGGGGCCTGGGCCTGTTCATTTTGTGGGAAAAAAAGCGCAGTATGTCATAAAATTGTGAAAAAAAACATTTTGAAACCAGAAAAGGTTGATTATAATTTCTGACCTGTGAAAAATCTGTTTCAAGTCGGTACATTAACCCGGTTAACATTTGCAACATCCATTCAACTTGAATAAAACTATTTCTGTGTTATTGCAATTGGCGTTACACAAGTTCTACCGGAAGGTAAACAATGCATTTCAAAAACAAAATCCCTATATTTTGTGAAATCCCTTTTGAAATTGTGAATTTTCTTCTGCCACATTGTGATAAAAAAGTGTAACTTTGAATTGTGAAGGGGCCTTATATCGGCCCCTGTTATAGAAGGAAAAAAAGCCCTGTGTACAGCGCGTGTATACATTAGTCTGATCTCTATGGAAAGCGTTATTACTGATTAGCTAATTGCTTCACTGGTTGATGTGCATAGGACCGCCTACCTATAGACTGATACGCGTTGATGTATTTGTGGTTGTAAACAATCGGTAATGTTTATGCGTCCCCAGGCAAAATTAAGCGTATGCAAAATCCTTCCTATGAAATATTTGTGTCCAGCTGTAATAAACATGCGCACTGGTACGCCGAAATAAGCGTCCCTTAGAACCCTGGTAAAAGTTAAACTACTGGTAGGTAGGGGTGTAACAATACAGCAAAAACCGTATTGCAATATATTGCCATTTTGCTGAAGCGTATTGCAATATATTGCAATACGTATTGTCGTGTATATGTTTTGATGTAAAGATGGGGTAACATTTATATATTATTATTATATGTATATATATTTAGTAGAAACTTAATAAAAATGTAAGGAATAAATAGAAAGTAGTGTCACACAATTTGATAAACAAAACTAGTTGCGTGTAACCTTTCACATCTGGGCCGCTTATGTAAATTATGCGGCCGCTTATTGACTTTTAAGTGTACTAGTTGTCGGATACTTTTATCTTACGTTGGCGCCAACAAAATTTGCCAATTAAAGATTTTATGTGAAATTTGTACAAAATTAGAAGGCAATTAATTGAAAATTATGATTTTTATAAAATACCGGTTTTCCAAAAATCGTACCGCGGTTCGAAATTTTTTTTTTCATATTGCAATATATCGGTATACCGGTAAACCGTTACACCCTTACTGGTAGGTGCATGATGTCTAGGAGGCACTTGAGGATGTGGGTACCACGGAAATATGATGCACCAGTATATATGGTATTTTGTAAAGAAGGTATCCCTTCGAACGGGCATTTACGCTTAGCGACGGTATATGATCAATCGATGTATCCCAGTACTGCCACTTTCCGATCAGCTAACAGATTTTTCTACAATAACTGACAGTGAAATTATAAAAAAATAATTTCTCTTACAATTCCGCAAATATTATCATTTCAGCTATTAAATGTAACAATTTTTTAAAAATTTTACCTGAATTATTATTATGAATAGAGGACAAATAATTACTGATCCATTTTCCTGTTCTTCAAAATTTCACAACAACTTTTCAATCAGTTAACCAAATTTAAACTGTACCACATAAAAATTGTCATACAATGTCAAAATATAACCAGCTAGTTATGTATTTTGAAGAAATTTTTACAAACTCAACTTCAGATAAATGACAATAAACAATTTTAAACTGTTTATAATGCGATTTTTCAATCTTGATATCTATTTGCAGTAATAAAGCTGTCACAATTGGGGTATTGATGTGCATCTCAATTTGCATAACAGAAAAAGCATGTTCTTGTGAAATTTTTAGGATCTTAGGATTTATATGACCCCAATCTAGTGACAGCTTTCTGAAAAGTTATCAGAGAGATCAATGTTTTTCCCTTAAGTTAAGTCAATAAGTGACTGTTACTTTACTGACATATTACCTTCCAATTAAGAATTGTATGGTAAAATATGTACTTAATAAAATTATATCTTTTGACATGCAGTATACATTTACTAAAATGATATTGAAACAGTTGTCCAACTTAATATCCTTTTCTGCAGACTGACAAAAAACTGAGTCTGTAAATCAATTATTTTGAGAAAATTATTGCGATTTGTAACTGGGTAAATAAAGGATTAGTGGAAAACACACATTTTACATATTTTGAACTAAAATACTGGTATTTTCTGTTTTATCACCATAATTGACATTGCTGCTGGTAAATGTAGTCAAGGTAAATACAAGATGTGCTTTCAGTTTGGTTACATGATAAATAAGGTCAAAAATAAAGAATTTCTAGGGATGATTGAAAAGTGGTTGTGATTGAAAACTGGCAGTATGAGGATACCTTTATCGGGGTAGCAAGACACTTCACCCCCCAGACACTTCACCCCTCAAATTTTGAGGACACTTCACCCCTCCACTTTATCAGGTGCGCGACAAGATTTTTAACCATTCATATAGGGTTAACTGGGAGTGTCCGATCCCTGTAATATAAATCCGTGATGTTATGAACAGATGAATAAGAGTAATACAAAAATTTCACTAATAAAAAGGACATGAAGGAATTTTCTCTAAAAATGCTGTATAACAACTTGGCGAATTATAATTATTACCGATTTTTCTTACTTTCAGTAGCTTGGCGTGACAACATTTCTTCAGGATTAAAAACGATAGCACTTCTGAGTAAATAGATGAACCCCCAGCATTAGGCGCGTCTCGAATCTTTATAATATCACTATCCGACTCAGAGATGATGATCGACGATAGATCTAGATCTTCTTCTTTTCTATTGGTGGTGAAATCACTGAGAATAACACCACCAATGCTTTCTTTAATTATTAACGATCGAAATATAAAACAACTTTCAAAAAAACAGACATTGAACCGTTCTCCAAAGTAGCAAAGAAGACTTTGTTTTCTTATATAATTCTTTTTTTGTTTTTTACGTTTTGCAATTATCATATAAAGTGCAAGTACGCATGCGCGAAAGGAGTTCCGGTCCGGTCTCTTATCGATAATTCCCGGTCTCTCCCGGTCTATTTTGACCGGGATTTACCGGCGAATATCATTATGTTTTTCGGTTTTTGAGTAGACATTTTATTTGATACCGTAACAAATAAATAAGATTTTTTGCCAAAAATGAATGTTTGTCACTTAGTTTGGTTACAATAATAAATGAACACATATCATCTCTCAAATTTATTTATGATTATCAGGGGCGTAACTAGGCGCGTACAAATCAATTTTGTATTCTGAAAAATCACATGCACTAAAAGTTCTGAAAAAGTAATAAAAACAGAGGGGTGGTAGTGTGGTCGGGTAACAAATATTCATGTAGGTCTACTATATTTTTTTATTCAAAACATATACAGTACACATGTATCAGATCTAATAAATATCTTTTAAAATGATCTATATTGCGATATCTTGTACATATTCAGCGGAGGAAAGTTACAAAAAGCCTCTGTGCTTCTTATTCGGCGAACAGGTCGCCAGCAGCAATTTATTTCCAAAACCTTTTGCCCTTTATTTCCCATCTTGGCCCTTTTGCGTCCTCTTATGGTTTTGGTTGGGTGCCTTCTGGGTACCCTGCTGGTGTGGCTGGATATTGTGTGGGGGGCTACGTTCTGTCCAACGTCGCCTTTTTGATGTTTGATTTTTGTTCTCATCTTTTAATCAGAAAAGAAGTAACAAATTGGGTAAATTTCTTAAAGATCGTTGAAAGACATGCAAAGTTTTCATTTTTCAATTGATTGCTGCAGAGAAGTACTTGGCCGTGCCGAAATGGCAGAAAAAGACAGAGTGTAAAGTTCCATCTCAATTGTATGCATTTATTTAAATGAATCGCCAGAGTCTTGTATATAAGTTGTTGAGATAAGTATTCCTTGTGGTCAGCAAAACATTGCGATGAGTCATCAAACACATTCCATACGTAATTATTTTAGTCGTATATATCTGTCAATGAATTTATTTTTTTCACAAAATATCTTAAACGAATCCTTTAAAGTATTCACGTGAGTTCTAAAATCTATATGTTATATGCAAAGATTTTTAATTAATTTATTAACGTTTCTAAAGGGAGATTTTAAAATATCTTTGCATGTAATTTAACGCGGTATTTTTTATAAATATTATAATGTAATCAAATATTTAACAGACCAAAACATTCACTGAACTTAGTCACAATTTTCGCACTATTATCAGTCGTAATTAATATATTGTTACAACAGTTGCTATTTATGAAGGTACAAAATGGCGGTCTTTCACGAGAGAGCATTGGGGCATTGTATCTCGCATTTTAAACGCAAGCTTAAATGTGTATAAACCCATCTTTTTCGTTAGCTGTGGCGTATGTGGTGGACTAACGTAAACATGACAATTGCCGTCCAACGGCTCCGGCTTTTCTAAAGAATGCATGCTGTTTGACCCTTTATAGTGGTCATGCCAGTTCTCGGCAACAACTGAACTAAAACGTACGTACGTACGTTGGAGACAGAGCGTATGTCTGGTCTAAGTCTCATAAATATTTATAAAGATAAGGTAGTAAATGCCGAGTAGACAACTTTGCATACCAACGAAACAGACGTCTGGCGTTTTTTTTTTTCTTTATTTATTTTTGTTATTTAAAATAATTAACTGAATACGGGAGATTTGTTGTTAAACATCATTTGGAAGGACGCAAATAAAATATGTGCTGCAAAAAAAAATCAAATATAAATATAAGAAAAGTTTTATGGTAGATATACAGTGGAGCCTTGCTAATCCGAACCCTTCTAATCCGGAATCCTTTCTTATCCGAACGAAGTGTCCAGTCCCGATTTTATTCCTTCTATTTTCAATAGTAAAAAAACCTTTCGGATCCGGAACCTGTCTACTCCGAATTCCGGACGATTTTTTCAATGTTTGTTCTTATTTTACTCTAAAATTTACCTCTCGGATCCGAACAGATTTTGCCAAATGTCACACCTTCATTCAAAATAACAAATAATCGCACATCTTGCAGGTGTAAACATACACCAAGCTGATGTGTTATTTCACTTGATTAATGGGTGAAACGTATGATCTGCGAAGGTGTGAAAATTACACTTAGCTTGCCTTCATATCTTCTATAATTGCTTAATTGATTGTTTTTCGTCACCTTCAATAAATATTTTGATATAATGCAATAAAAATATCTTTTAATCCTTTGTAATGGATTCAATGATACGTGATTAAGCAATGAAAATTAATGTAAAACTGTCAGTGAATTCGGATACTCTCTGAATCGGATAAGAGTAAACAACAATTGACAAATGCTGGTACGAATATTTAATTATGTCTCCGCCTCCTGTTTTACATCGTAGGTTAACTTACCCTTGAGGACATAATATTTTTTTGCTTATTTATTTATTTTCATTTCTTTATTTTTGTATTCACATGTATTAGAATGAACGATAAGAGACTGCAAAAATAAAATATCTAAATTGCAATTTCAAATGCATTCCCGTTTTCTTTCCCTAAACTATTTTGCAAATACATGTAACATGAAAAAACATGTAAAAAGAACCTTCTAATTCGGACACCTTTCTAATCCGGAAACCTTTCTAATCCGAACTTTTCTTCTGGTCCGGACGAGTTCGGATTAGACAGGTTCCACTATATAACGTACTTGTTCATTTTACAAATTTTAAAATTAATAAAAAGAGCTTGAAATCATCACCAATATGTTGTCAATATAGCCTCTAGATAGTCACGAAATGCCAAGATATCGCTTCCTTTTTCAAAAATTTTCTCGGGAGTGCATGCCCCCGAACCCCCTAGTTATGGAGTACATATCAAATTAGCTCAGTTACGCCCCTGATTATGATTATTATACGCGGAAAGTCCGAGCGGGGCCAAAGGCCCCGCGAAGGCTGTAGCGCTCTTAGATAACATCTATGACGCGTATCAATTCAAATGAAATCAAATTAAAAGTAAACAAAAATTTCAAAAAAATATATATATCCTATACCAGTCCTAATGAGCTGTGAAAAAATCCTTAGTTTACAGGGCGCCGCCATTTTGAAATCCTTTTGAGCTAAATATAGATATCACAGCGTTTTTTAATGAGCGTCTATATAATTATTGCTAGCAGACGCATGCTAAATAACACATCCGGTAAAAGAATGATGTACAAAATCAGAAAATTAACATTCATTTCATTTATAATAACTATAGTAACGATGATAAATGTAAAAAGTTACTTTTAAATCCATTTTGATTAATTAGCTCATTAAAAAATAACGTAAAAACAACATATGTGATTAGAGATTAACAGAAAATGGCAGACGGGATTTTCCAAACGCCGACGCTTGCGCTGTGGTCCCTCTTCCGATGATAGGTTGAACACCACCAATTTATTGGATTTACTTATAAACAAATTGCATGATAGATCTGGTTAACATGTACACTAAACATGTTATGCTTAAATCATAATTCATAAGAGCTTTCCGCGCCATAGGTAGCACCTAATTTCATATTAATAAATTAACACATATCATCTCCTTAGTTTGGTTACAATAATGAACAAGAAAAGCATTGATGCAAAGCATCAAAGGGCGTCCAAGCAAGAAATGCAGCAAGTGAAGATGAACTAGTAGATATATGATACAAGATATTCTAATGAACTACCAGTATTGAATATCACTTATGAATGAGCGGACGAAAGACATTGTTCATTATGAACTTTGATTGGCATGCTAGAGATTAGAATATTACTTGTTATTTCTTTATGATCGAGGTTATTAGTAGCAACGGATATACATGTATACAATTATTAAAATCCATATGTGTATAACGCATGACCAACGCGTACCATACTTGTGTAATTGTCCCTTATTATGTTATCGCTATTAAGGTTCTTGTTCACACTTAGTAAAAAAATGACACTGGTTATATTACCATGTTGATCATAATTGTTTATTAAACAATAATTGTAATATCTATTAATTTTAATAAAAAAAACAACAGATTTTATTAATATTGTTGTCTTTTCTTTTTTGTGTTTTATGTGCTATTTTAATACTGAGTTTTTATGTTTACTTCTCTTTTTTTATTAAAATTGTAAAATAAATTTTAAGAATTGACCGACGTGTCAAAACTTAACTGGAAAAGTCAGTAAATTATGGTTAATCTTTCAATATATAATATTGTTTATTCTTAAACCATGTACATGTACATTTGTATTTTCTTTATGATTTTTCAAATTATCAATCAATAGAATAATTCATAAAATCTAATTTGTAACTTTGAATAATTCCTCGGCATCTTTACTAAACACGAATAACAAATTAAATAAAATGTTTCAAAGTTGATAATGTCATATTTATACTATAAAAATGTACCTTTTTCTCAATTATTGTACATATTTATTGTTTTTATCTCATATAGATAAAATGAAACATGCTATTGTTGTTGTTGTTGTTGGCTTTTTTTTTCGAATTGTAACGGTATCAAGCATCTACTCCAAAGACAATAAACGTGTGGTACTATTCGCCGGTCACTAGTAAATTCCGGTCAAAATAGACCGGGAGAGACCGGGAGTTACCGATAGGAGTGATAAATAGATATATCTATAAATAGATTTTTCTAGGATACATGTACAACAATAACATACCATGATAACCCACTGTGTACTACAAAATGATACAAGCGCAGCTAGCGGAGTTATGGTCCTTGTCGCTCTTGTTACTATAGTTGCCGTCTACAGATATCGTAAGATGGCTAAGAGGAAAGCAAATAGAATAAAATTGATTAACAATCTACGCACTGGAGACACAGACACTTGGGGTTTGGAGCTCAAAACGCCTTTAAAATCCAAATAAAATGCATATTTGTCAATCCCAGCACATGTACTGATCATATATATCAAAAAAACTTAATATAAGTCGTTTTGAAAAAATTTCATATTTCAACATCTATAATAATCTGTGACTGGAGAAGGATCATATAAATTTGTGG